GGTTGAAGTGCTGACGACGGTCCGTTTCTCCTAAACCAGGCATGGTGAGCAATATGAGATTCACGAAACCTGCCATTCCAATGTCACCACCCTATAACATGTAGGATAAGCAGGATGCACGGATGAAATAAAAAAAGGAAATGTGCCCACCTACCACTGATTTTCCCGTTTGAAAACATGCTGACCGCGTTAGACTCAGTGCCCGGCGGTTGTGCACATAGCGCCACAGAAGGTACCCGGTGTCACGATAAGAACGGCATATCTCTAAACCTAACATGGCACGGTGCTACTTTCCCAGACACTCCTATATCAGAACCGACTGTAGCTGTGTTTGACTACAGACTACTGGCTCAGCAGTCACTTATGCATGATAAAACCTGAATCAAGCACAAAAAGGCGAGAAAAGAAGCTGCGTGAGTACGAGCCCGCTCAAGCGCTTTAAGCCAAGACTGAAGACATTCCCCAGGAAATATGAGCAGCCAACACGACGAGTAAGAGATCATCGTTCCGCCGAGGAATCCACCCCATCTCACAGGAAATGCCACCATGATTGCGGCTTCCGGGCGCGGCGGCGGCGCACGCCTACTCCTCGGTCTATCCACATTGCTGGGCTAAGTAGCTCGGCGCTCAACGCGCTGGCGGTATGCTTGTATTGATGGCTATCCGTAGCGAGTATGAGGCGCAGGCCGAGACCACAAAGAAGGGAGCAGATAAATAATGTGCGGCGATCGCAGCCTCCCCCCCCCCCCCTTCCCCGCCCCAGGTATGTACGGTCTACCACCGCCGGTGCATGATCGAATATTTACACCATCTCTGTGAGCGTGGCCGAAAGCAGAGCAGTGACGAGAGGAAAAAAGAGGGAGAGGGAGAACGAAACACAGGAGGAAGTGAAAGAGTGAAAAAGAAAATAGCAAGGCATAAGACAGACGGAAAATACCTACAGCAGTGAATAGGGAAGATAGAAAATAGAAACATAGCCAGGCTCACTAGGGAGACAAATCAGCGACAACCAGAACAGGAAACAGCAAGCAGGGACATCCATTTAACACTTGTAATTGTCCTCGGCGAAGGAAACAAGCACGGTCCATCTGTCTGATTGGGAAATGCCTCTCATCCTGGTTCCCATGCATCACTTTCGCCCCACGGACCATCAAATGTCGATGCCGGGCGCTTGAGGTCCTGCCCTTATTGGCCCCTTCAGACACCGCCCGGCAGCCCGCACTGATTACGGTTTTCACCAGCAGCGCTTTAATTACCGCCCGCCAGACTGACTGGTGACGTCAGCTGAGCCGGATGACGTGAGAGGCAGGAAGTGACGTGAGGTCCGGAGTGACGCGGGACGATATCGAGCTCGGCAGGTGACTGCAGACTAGGGACGAGAGGACGGCCAATTCAGCAGAATCAATGCAAATTCCTGACATCAGATACATTAGCGGGAGCTGTTGCGCTGATAGGAGAAGGAGCGCCAGTTTTCCTCCCTCCCCACGCCGTCCTCCTCTCACTGAGCATCCCCGTAGGTAAAAGCGGTCGCCGTTTCCCCTGGCTAGCTCGCTGCTGTCGTCTGGCTTTCGTCCGTCGCTAAATTAGCCATTAACTGACGAAGACGTGCCTCAGAGACCGGCAGCTCAGGTAGCCGGGTCCCGGCACCACACCCTCTCACAAACACGTCATCGGGTCGGTGTGTGAACTGAGTCACCCCTCCGAAATAACCCGCACCACGCCCGTCTCCGACGCCGAGTAGACCCACCTAGCGACTCTTCCTGCAGGGGGCGAGACGAGCGCTCGACGCTACCTGTTTACCTGCTCCTTGTTTTGCGCAGGTTCTACTAACATGAGTTTTATCATGTTGTGTTCGAAACAGGCACCTGAGGCATGCAGTTCGTTTATTCGCTTGGCTTTGCTCGTTTACAAACTTTAAACTGTTAAAAATACATGCCGAGAATGCCTTCTAAAGTCAGTCAATAGACGCAACAAAGCTAGACTATTTATGGAAGGTTCTTGTTTAACTCAATAATAATGCATCCCAACGCCCACAAAGTACCTAAATGTAGAGACAGGATAATGCATCGGAGGTTTAGCAATGAATGGCATACCCCAACAGCACGACTGTCGACATGCTACGACATTTCATATCGAGCTGCACCGGTCCCCTGTGACAAGCCGCCGCCGCAGCCCTCCCGAAGCCGACCCACGCTCCGTGAAACAGCCGTGTCGACTAGAGGTGGCAAAAGATGAAAATTTTGGGAACCAGACTCGAACCAGACCCGGCTGGACATTTCTGGAACCAGTCGGACCCGGCCTTAGTTGGAATCGGAACCAATTGGACCCGGTTCCCAAAAGTCAATTAATACTAACTACTTGTAGGTATCATTAGTTGCATCATGTAAAACAGCTTTTTTCCACTGGGAATACTCATGAGCTACTGTGTACAAAGAAACATTCACTTCATTCACTTCATATTTTGCATTAATGTGTAGTGTGCAAGATGTATAGTTTATGGTAGGACCCGGTTGGACCCGTCAGATAATTTCCAGGAACCGGTCTGGACCCATATGGGTCCAGACTGGTTCTTTGGACCGGGTCCTCGGGTCCACATTTTGCCACCTCTAGTGTCGACTGCCCGACCGAGGGCTGGAAACACGACCCATATCGTACCGCGCGGCCTTGCATGTGAATGGCCACATAACGACCAGCGGTCGAACGCTTTTCCATTGACGGCCCACGCGCCCGTGCGATCGCCGCAGGAGGGGGCGGGGAGAGGGAGAGGAGGCAGAGAGACGGGGGAAGGGGAGATATAGCGGTGCAGCCGGAACAGGTGCGGGGCGAGAGTACAGGGCAGGGACAGGTGGGGGAGGGGAGTCGTGCAGAGATAGGACACATGGAAGGCGAGAGCAACGGGTCTTTTTTTTTGTGTGAATGTGAATCCTTCCTAGAGTGTGTGACGCGTGTAATGTGTATTATTAAAGATTCATCGATAACGATGAAGATAATATGGAGTTCAAATAAGGATATCACCGTAATATGTCAGACATCGAGACAAAGACTGAGGCCTGGGCCTAGGTAGAAGTCGTTCATATGCAACCGAAATTAAGCTGAAACGCCACTGCACCTCGAACTGCACACAGCTGCACAGTACTCCGGGCAATGTCTGGTCCGAACAGGCCTGCCAGACAGAGCTGAAACATAACGAACGGGCCACTACCACCACTCGAGGCGTGCCCGCGCATCCCTCCGGCCGCGACACGACAATCGGATTACGTTTGGGTCAGCTGGTCCGGGCGCGCAGACCGGGTCCCCGACCCGGCACAATGGGGATTGGGTAACCCTGACAGGGCAGCGGTGTCGCAAACCGGAGACATTCGCGGGAGGGGGCATCAACACACAGTACACGGTCCAAACCACTGTCCGGCCATCACCCCATCAACACTGAACGGTGCCCAGCGCGACCACAATACCACATTCAGGCGCTGATCAATGCTGCAGTGTGTATGCACATTGCATTTGCAATGAGCGATAGGTAACTGCCGGCCGTTTGGCACCAAACATCCTTTGCACACTTGACTGACATGGCCGCTCGCAAATCTTCGCCCAAATGGCGACTTCGAGGAATGCCGCTATCGCATAAACGACCAACGTCGCCAGGTCCATGGGCCAGGCCCCAGTAGACTGCATGCGGAGGCTGTAGGAAATGTGCCATCCACTATTCTACCGTCCAGTGTCCAGAGAATGAATGACGCCGGATAGTTGCTCACACGATCAACAGGTGCTAGATCATGATGGATGCGAAGGTCATGAGAACGTCCGGCTACGTGGCACGCCGCCAAGGAAAGCGACATGCTTATGTTCACATCCTGGAATATGAGAATCCTTACATAGCGCCAAGCAGCTTCTCAGCAGCTTGAGCCTGGAGGGTGAAAACTGTTACATATAACCCGGCCCGGAAAGGCGAAGAAACAGGAAACGTCTCAGGTCCGACGCTTGTGGACAAGGTGGAAGGAACCGGGAACGTCTCAGGTCCGACGCTTGTGGACAAGGTGGAAGGAACCGGGAACGTCTCAGGTCCGACGCTTGTGGACAAGGTGGAAGGAACCGGGAACGTCTCAGGTCCGACGCTTGTGGACAAGATGGAACAAACAGGGAACGTCTCAGGCCGGACGCTTGTGGACAAGGTGGGAGGCGGTCTGCATGAGTCAGGGTCCAGGGGGGTCCGATAGTCTAGCCGTCTCCGTGTGTACCGCTGACAGGACCACCCCGGTATGGAGTGTTCTCAAACAATGAGTCAGCCGCCTCCGGGGTCATGTGGCCCAGCGGGTGGGCAAAAACACCGTTTTACTCCACATAAAACGTGAACCAGTCATCGAAAACGTGTAAACGTGTAAGTGCACCGACTTATTCAAAAGCTTTAAGTGGTAAAAAACGATAAGGTATCGAAAACAATTACCAATTTTGGACAAGGGTGCAAACTGCAAACTTAAGTACCATACCTAGGTATGATTAAAAATGAACATAACTTTGGTACCAATAGGAAGAATAAGGTCAGCTCAACGGACAGGATTAAAATCCGGCCAATTATAAATGCCGGCGACGGCATCCCCAGAAAACGTTCGGTAATAAAAAGCGTCCATTTGAATGAGGCCATAAATCCGTGAGCTTTAAGTGACACGAACGCTATTATTCGCCCCGGCAGCCAATGAGGCCGGGTTTACGACAGGAAATTGGACGTTGACGTAGCGCCAGCGATAGCCGGTGCCGGCCAGTGAAAGTTCAAACTAAGCTGCTCCGGTCCGCATACCTGGCAGGTGAATCACACGGGCCATCGCCCAAACTCGGAGATCGGACGCCGACGGGGGCACTGCGATCCCGTCCGAGCCTGCACAGAAGCCGCGTGGTCTGCGCGCACCCCAGCCCGGCAGCACTCAGCGGCAATGGCCAGCGTGCGGCGACTCAGTGACCTTGCCGCCGCCCCACCTTCACCCTCGCTCCCCAGACAGACTCCATACCTGGCGCCCCAGTAGAACGGTCTCCGGAGTCTGTCGATGTGACTCTCAGTTAGACCAGTCACCAGCAGTGGACAGCACGCGCCGCGAATTAGTGCAACAGCACAGCGACCGCACCCCTCCCACACCACCAACACCGCGCGTGGCGAGCGACTGAGCCGCGGCGGCTGGCGGGCGGTTCTCGCTCGCTCGCTCGCCGGCCGGCCGGTCGATGGTGTCGGCTCGGGGCCGGTTGCCGACACAGAGCGCTACAGTGGCGCCGCCACGCGGCCAGACGGCCAAACACCGGCCCGAGATCGCAGCCGATCGGGCCAGCCAACCGAGGCGCCGCTAGGATCGCGTCGGGGTGGGGAGGGCGGCGACCGGCGCAGCGGGGAGGGGCGCGGGGAGAGGGCGTGAGTGCGGATTCAGGAGCCGCCAGGCCCGTCTATTAGTCCCAGATTCCGGTCATCGATGGTCCTGTCATGAGATCTTCCGGCACCGAGCCCAAGCATTAGCTCGTCAACAAAACGACCTTGCCGTGCAGCTTGCACTGTGCAGAAAGATGATTTACAGCGATCTTGAACGGCGCCCGGGTCTTGCGAACGGCCAGTGCAGTCAGCTTCCCTAAAGATCATTGGCTTTAAAATAGAAATAGTTATTACTTACTGAACTCTGAAGTCGGCCAAACAACACCATGTCATTAAAGTTAGTCCATTTTCATGTTCTCCCGGATCTCTTCCACTTTCATGTCATCATTCACTGTCCAGACTGCGCCCAGGGTATCCTGATGGCTGCCTGACCTCCCTCGCTGACCCCCAGGGTACCGCCACGCCGTCCTGACCGTCCCTACAACAGCCCTGACCGGCCTCGGCCTCGGCGCAGGCCGCTCAGATATGTCCTCTCAACGGCAGGCGGCGACTATTTGTTTAAAGATAGTGTCTGAACGCTGACTGTCCGCGGCTCTCGGCCGCGTTTTACTGTCTCTCTCCAAAGAAATGTTTATGCTTGGCTGAAGATATTCCGCCTGTTTGGCTCCGCCGTTCTCAGTTCTGAGTTGACATGTCGGCGCACACTGTCAGTCGGCGGCTTTGTGCATTTCATACGCAGTTAGAGGCATGGTAGGGTTACACTCCCTTCGAACTACGCAGGACGTATAAGCAGCTTAAGAAGATGTCTTCGAGCCAACGCAGATCAGTCATAACTCATAAGTAATAACCAGTAATAACACAGCAGCGGAACTATATATGCAATGCATGGCAGAGCGACAGAAAGAGGCTATAGCAGGCTAGTCAGTGGAAGTTTGATCCCTGTCAGCCAGCGATGCGAAGCGATCGGGCGCAGTACCGTATCATCTCCCACATACCTCTCAGCACTGGAGCGGCGAGGTCGGCCGGCTGTCGAGGCTGAGGAAGACCATGTTGGACGCCGTCTGTTTGCCTGAGGTGGCCGCCTGTGGACCAAAACCCTCCCGGTAAAGGACACAGCGCGGTAGTGGCGGGTCATCGGGTCAGTGGCGTTCAGACTACACAAACCCGCATCAGCACGGTCCCGCTATCACAGCGGAGGGCACACACGAACACTGAACAGTCTATTATTTGGAAGCTACATATTGAAAAAAAGTCGGTGGAGTTGAGGGTGTGCTTCAGGCTTCTAGACTGCCAGAAGCAAAGCAGCAGCTTAGCTCGATCAGAACGAGAGGTAGGAACAGACTGAAGTGACCGTGCTGTTTCTTCCTACTTTGCGTTACGCGTAGGTTTTCGGAAATCTGAAAAGACGAAACTCAAATGTTGCTTGGCTATTCAAATGAGCTTTGCCTGGCAGGCTTTCTTTGCATTTTAAAAGGCATTGATGACACAATACAATCATCGTCGTGCCGTACCCCATAGACATATCATGATTTACTCAAGAAAAAAGCAGTTGATCACAACTTCAACTCATGTCATGCGATGGCCTGTAGCTTGGAGGGCGCGGATGAGAACCACAAAGTCCAGTTGGGCGCAATCGAACCCCGGAGGCTGGAACCCACCGGTAAGATGCGCCGCCGGAGCCGCCAGAGGTGGTCGGTGAGGCGCGACAGAGTCCGCAGGGCGTCAGGTGGGAGGGCATCGGACGAACACGGTCGCTCGGTTATCTGCCAGTGAGAAAGTGCCGCTCCCCACGCCTGGGCTCACTGATCTGGCCATTGGTGGCTGTACGCTGAGATCCCATCACGCAGAAATATTTATCCCACTGCCCTGATTCCGGTACTGGGTTATCACAGCTTTCTGCTGTAATGTTGATAAGGCATCTCAGCTCCAGAGAAAACACCCGTCCTGCTCCAAGCTCGCATTTTTTATTGAACACAGCCCACCCTACACATTGTAGTGGCACGGGCGAGGCGAGGCGGCCGTTCGGACGCTGTCGCCGCACGTCATCGAGGTGCCGCCCGGTAGGGCGCAGTCGTCACCCGGACAGCGTCACCGAGAGGCCGGCACTGCGGCCCGGCCAACGGTCGGCGGTCGGCTCGATTCGATTCCATCAGCAGCGCTCGGCGCTCGGCAGCACGACACAGCGCGCAAACGAGTACAAAACGGACCCACCAGGGCAGAAAGCGCTCATCAAAGCGACCGGTCGGAGCGCAAGATGCGATAAATCAACAGCCCGACCACCAGCGCGCGCACTTAGGTTAGATACCAGCAGCATATCTACAGAAAATCTGGCCAGCAGTACGTCACGCTCATACTGCAACGTGACGTTAATGGCAAACAATCAGCATTGTTAACATAAACACATCCCCAAAACCCTGTTTGATGCCGGTATAGTTAGGTGGCGATATCTGGCGATTGTACGTGAAACACTAGTTTATAATCCTACCGCCGCGGCGCCACCGCCGCGGCACGGAGCCTACCCAGCCTACGGCGCTTCTCTTCTTGTTTGCACTTGGATTTGTACTTTGGTTGCATCTCTCATTGGGATTGCTGATGATGTACGTACGCTGAGACTTTGTCTCCCAGTTGAGGGCGTGCATAATGTACCAGATGCATGACGAAAGACAACACAACGATGTAACAAGTAAGAGTGCGACCGTCGCCGTCTCGCCGTTGTACACCGCTGGGCAGGCTGCTGCTGTCGGTTGCGATTCGTTCAGTTCGGTCAGACCCACGCAGCTCGGGGCCCGCCACCACCCGGCGCTGCACACCACTCGTGGGCAGCGCCGGGCGGCGTCACTTAACCAATGTAAGAGGCACGCACTCGCGGGGTAAAACCGACTCCCTTGAGGCCGAGTCGCTGCCGCGGGTGGCACTCGTGTCCCGCGGGCCGGCCGGCTGGCCCGCCGTACGGCCCCCTGTCTGTACCCCCGGCCGCCCGCCGCTGCGGCCGTCCCGTCCCAGACCGCGGGCCGCCACCCGCCTCCACTGGCACCGCCGCCGGTCACGCCGCGGCGCCACTCCAACGGGCGATCCCGATGTGAAATGACCCAACATTTGGTATCCATAGACAGCCACCAGGCTCAGATGTGTCCCACTAAAAACATTCCATATGATAATCTTTGAACATTATTCCAACGTTCAATCCCCTTTTAATAAAAATACACACAGGCACGAACCAGCTATTGCAACAAGCGTCAAAATGTAAATCTACTGCGATGATCAACATGCAATACAAAATCACACAAATGAGCCATATCAGATTACTACGGTGGCGGACTCATGGGTCATTTCACGGTCAGGACACACCCCTCGCCGGGTCTGGCAGTGAGCCCGGCGGCGACTCACGGCCGGCGACTTACCGCGACACGGGCCGCGACTCTGGCGCCTCCAGCTGCGCCAGAAACGCGTCGCGCTCGTCGCGGTACTCGTGGATAAAGTTAAACTGGCGCACCGACTGGACGGCGCGCGGCCCGCGCAGCCGGCGCACCGCCTCCACCGCCTGGTCGGCGGTCAGCTCCTCCTGCACGTGCAGCAGCAGGCAGGCGGCCACGGTGCAGGCGCGCCCCAGGCCGGTGGAGCAGTGCAGCAGCACGCGGCCGCCGGCCTCCAGCGCGCGCACGGCCGCCTCGAACAGCTGCAGCAGCGCCGCCGGGCCGGGCACCTCGCCCTCGGCCACCGGCCGGTGGCACACGGCCAGCCCGTGCGCCTCGTAGGCGGCCGCCAGCTCCGGCACGCCCTGTTTGGCCAGCTCGGCGTGCGTGCACAGCATCAGGGCGGCCGTGAAGCCGAGCGCCTGCAGCCGCTCCAGGTCGGCGGCGGCCGGCAGCGCTGACACGGCCAGCGAGCGCCGGTAGCCGACCGCCGACAGGTCGAGCCAGCTGAGCGCCAGCGGCTGCGGCCGGCGCGGCTCCGGCTCCGGCTCCGGCTCCGGCTCCGGGGACCGCTCCGGAGACCGCTCCTCCTCCTCGTCCCCGGAGGAGGGCTCCGAGCCGGACGGCGGCCACATGGTGCAGCCGGCAGCGCGCGCCGCTGAAACGGGGAGCAGACGGGACGGTACAGAGCGCCGCCCCCTGCCGCCCGCCCGCCTCCGGCGCCGCCGTGCCGTGCCGTGAATGGACGTCACCAGGCGCCGCGTCCGACAAGGTACCGACTCACTGCAGGTTCGCCAGTAGCGCGAGTGTCTACACCGGGCCGCTGGCTGATTAGTCCATTCACGGCACGTTACGTCACGAATCCTACCGACCCCGCGGAGGTTCTCAGCTACGACCGATATCATCTTCCCGCGTCAGGCCGAGACCGCAGCCGCGCTCGCCAGGTGTAGGAATGTGAGTGCAGGGAACTGGGCAAATAATCGACGCCGGACAATATCAACCCCTTCTTATACCAAGGTGGCCAGTAAGAGACTGGTGTTTTGCCATGAGCCATGAGCTCAGGAGGTCCAGGGTCCAGTGCTGAGCTGGCACTGATGACAAAGGATAGTCTTTGGGGACAGCAGTCCCATTATTCCAGGACTGGTACTGGGTGCAGCAACCACATTCCAGAGAACAACAGCTCCGCAACATTGCTATATGTTTCATAACTGGCTTACAAAGGGGAATAAATATGTATTCCTTGGGTAAGAAGTTTCAACATGTTTCCTGATAATGAAACAGGAGAGAAGGCTCCTTATAAGGTTGTCCAATGTTGACATGCTTACACATGTAAGCCAATGAAAAATAGATGAAAAAAGAGGTCAAATTCTGTCCTAGTAATCAAAATGTTATGAGTTTATGAAAAATGCAAAAAATTAAAATTAAGGGTGAAAATGATACACAAATATTTTAAAATAAGAAGTAATGGCTCAGGTCAAGGCCCAAGCACTCCATCCAAGGATTATGGCCAGTGACTTAGTCACTTAAGCATTGTTGAGGTATGATAAAATAAATATATTAGGTAATTCAACAGATCCACAGATTTCCTGCATGGTTTATGTGAACAGTCTAGCATTGACATTGTTGTAAGGATTTGTTAACCTTCTCTCCTCACAAATGGGCTGTTGGAAAAATTGAGATGTGGGGTAAGATCATGGATTAGAGATTTTCTCATCCATGGTAAGATCCAATAGGTATCCAGATCAAGCTCAGCTAATCCTGCCCTATGGTCTGGTGCTAGTGCAGTTATTTCAAAAGGAATATTCCAATTCATATGTGACTTTTAAATTCAGATAGTAGATTTGTAGCTTAAGCATAAAACACACTATTTAAAAGCTTTCATTGTCTAGCAATGACGAGACTGATATTTAATACTTTTCCAGTTTTAAATGACAATATTTTCCCTCAATTGACCATCCCTCCCTTTTCTCAGAGGTGGCAGAACATGATTAAAGCAAAAAGATAAACAGAATGACCACCCACAATATTGATACAAAACTGAAACACAATCTGGTCAGCTGTTCAGCCATTTCAATTTGTTCTTCTTTCATCACAATCATTAAATTAACTAACGAGGGTGATTATTTTATCCGCACAAGCTTGACTTTAAGCACATTTGATTCATTATCTATTGGAATTATTTCCAACAGAAGGCATGAATTTTCATTCATCTAATTGGCATGAAACAAACTAAGCAGCTTTGTATTATTATCCACATACCTGATGGGGAAGGCTGGGATGAAACGATGGCTGTCTATTCAGCCTGATGCATCGCTCTCTGACCACAACTTAAGTCTTGATATCAGCACCAGTTTGAAGTTTATATTTTCACCCTCTGATAAGCTCACTCTCATCACAAAGAATCTTGTGTTGCAACCGCGACAATAAGACCAGACCTCGTGATTTTCATGAAGCAGGTTGATTCATGGTTTGGACTTCGGATGATAGCACTTCATTCACCACAGCAACATAAAGCAATTCGTAAATAACCCCTTATCCCCATCCGCCCCTCCTACACTCGTCGCAAACTTTCGTTGTCTGCCAACTCGTTTTCGTTTTGCGTTGTATTTTTAACGAACTTAACAAAAATGTTTCTTTTAGAGCTTATGACGTCATTTCAATTCGAAAGTTGATTGGAGCTCTGGTATAAACGATGTGCAAACGCTAGAACTGATCCAAGAGGTTCATGACGTCATATATTATATTTTTAAGAGGAATAAGTGCAAAAACAATAAAAACAAGTCCTTGAAAGTGTTGTTTGGTTTTGTTTTGGAAATAGCGAGATGTGGGCGGACCAGCGGGAGAAGGTAATGCACATCTCTGGGGGCGGCGACGTGGGCATTTTCCTATTTACATCGTCATGTCTAATAATATCTTACAGTACTCGACGTCAATACACGAACGGACGTTGGATGAATTCATTTACACGCGCGTGCTTGGCGTCGCCGTCGAGTCGATCTTGATCTCTGATCTCTGAGTCAACCTCACCAGATTGCGGGCGTGAATGCTGACTGCAGTCTAAAGTCTTGACGGTCTTGACTGCAGCGCAGCCAACCAGTCACATTACGCATTACGCAATGCCTGCGTTGCTAAATCGTAGGGCTGCGTTGCGCAACTCCAACTTGGCAGCAGTCAGGTAACGCTTGAGAAAGCCGTTCTATGCGTTGCGTTAGCGATTTACAGAACCACTTTTAACAGTCAATATATTTTCAGAAGCCCGATCAAAAAATAGTTTCATTCCGCAGTTATCCCTGTGACACGGCCACACATCAGATGGGACCGGGGGACGCCGTACCGCTCGGGACCGGCGGGAGAAGGTGACCAGTGCGCGTGGGACGCTCGGTCGGTCCGCCCGTCCGCCGGCGCTACCTCCGGCCAGGCCGACGGCAGTGCCGCTTCCAGCCCGGCCTTCATCCTGCGCCGGCGGCGGCGGACCGGCCCTGCATCCCACCGCCCGACGTCCGCCCGCTCGTCGGCAGAACGCCGCGGACGGCAGGAAGGCCGGACGAGCGGGCCCGTCAGACAGACACACTACCAGTCAGCACCGCCCCAGCCGGCGCCCGCGCAGCGCGGCCTCACCGCCGGCAGTGGTGTCCGAGCGCCGTCTCGGCAAAAACACCCGGCACATTGGGAAGCAGAGGCACCAGAGAAGACAGCGTGTCCCGCCACCTCGACCCGCCCCATTGGAAGCCGCCGCCCGCCGAGCGGCACATCACGGAGCCCGCGCGACGCCCCAGGACGCCGTAGGCCCTCTACAGCTCCTCCTTCGAGATGCTGTTGTCGTCAAGCTCGTCGGCCTCGGCTGCCGACTCCAGATAGAGACCAAGGAACTCCTCGACAGAGTCGGTGTTCCACTTGTCAATCGCAAGAGTCTGAAACAGTCGCAACATAAACGTCATAATAACACGTCACCACAGGCAGGTTTATCACACTATTTCTACGTCACGTACGGCCTCTTCACAGTTGACAGGCTAAAAATGGACGATATGTGCCTACAGATTTGAGGACGTGTTAAAAAACATCAATCATATTTTAACAGGGCACTCCCATGCGAACAATGTCTGAACCAGCGATGCTTGTTTGTTTATTGAGGCTTCATGGCATACTAAGATTTATGGCCATGATCCGAATGAGATACTACAGAGTGTTCGGTACCTCCGACCTACCACGAGATCCATCGCACACAACAAACGCATCTAGCCTCGACACACTGTAACGAGAGCATAACCATTCCCGAACCTCCGTCCATCTCTCTTCGTCCATCCTCTGCTAGCCTTGTTCCCAGCCGTCTCCCGATCCTGCCCTCCCCATCAGAATGTCACTGACCTCCTGCACGCGCTCCTCCTCGTCCATCAGCTTGATGACGGGGTCGGCGCCGCGCACGTACTTCACCCGCAGACCCGGGTACCGCGCAGGTCGGTCGCTCTTAACGAACGCTGCGAACACGCCACGGGTCTCAGTCAGCCAGTACGGGTTGAGTGAGGGCATTCAACAATCGAGGCGTGAAACTCAAGCACACAAGTCCAAAATATGTGACCTAAGCTAGCAATTAAGCGCTCGTAGTGAACAAGTTCTTCGTGTGCCTACTCAGGATTCAGAAATGGCACCGTACGACATCGAACCAAGCCTAGTTGACGGGGTCGCCGAGCCCCCATTCCGTTGGCACCACGTACCCTGGACCTGCGGGAAGGCCCCCAGTCGTCATCCGCAGACCTCGAGCAGCGCGCGCGGGTAGCGCCGGATCTCGGGGGTGCCGCTGTCGGCTGTGCAGCACTTGGAGCAGTTATCTCTGCGGCAGAGTGGTGACACAGTCAGCGTGAGATAGCCGGGGCCTGGACATTGACTGAGGAAACGCCATACAAACAATTCAGAAGAGTGGATCAGTACTCAGTAAGTCAGTAGATCAACTCAGTAGCTTTAGCTTAAGTCACATGTGAAAGAAACAGCGAAGAGGCTGAACAGTAGCAGTAAGTGCGATGCTGTCAAGCAAGTTACAACGATGGCAATTTGAAATTCTTACAACGGGGAAAACACAAAGTTTACTTCTCTAAATTCTAATAGTTACTCACCTCAAGGCTGTTAAGCTGAAATCTTGCAACTCCTTGCAATAGGAGCAGAGAAGATTGGCTTTGTTGAAGCCCAAGTCTATGCATTGTTCTGATGTTAGTTCAGCAAGGACCTCCGTAACCTGTGAACAGTGAAAATACGGTCAGTTATGCAGCATTTTTCGTCGAGAATCAACCGCTCCATTCTTTTTTACGTAAAATCAATGTATTGTTTCTCTAGACTCGAAGCGCTGTGCAGAGCTGGCTAGCGGTAACTGGATATCGTGACCCTGAAATCGCAAATCGGCACTAGATCACCCTGACGACGGTACACAGGTCGTCGGGTTGGGGCGCTACCGTGACGCAGCGATACGAATTACGCACTACGCAAACATCATCGCCATGAACTACGAATCTAAACGATATACATATTTGGCGACCAGTCGTACTCGAGTTTTCCAAGAAGTGTAACTTTTTCCAGCGTGTCAAAATGTCTCACTACAAGGTGCACACTGCACACCCTCATCACTTTATCTTGGCGAAGCCGGTCTGATCATCAGACTTCAAAGGCGACGGCGACTTGGAAATATCGTTTGGCCAACGTTGGGGCGGCAGGGTAAGCAGCCCCGCCCAATGTACTCCAAAAACGGTGTCAGGTGTCAACATGCGAGGAGTGAACAAGCTGACGTCCCGGCACGCTCAGAGTCCGAGCAGTGTGTCAAGGCCGGCCTCGGTCTAAATTGGGCCGGAAGTCCTGGGACCTACCCGGGCGGACCACCAGCCGCTAGTTTTGCGGCGACGGTCACTCACAACCAGGGGTGCGGAGCCGGAGCCGGAGCTAGAGCCGAAGCCGGAGCCGTCAAAAACTCTGGCTCCTTTTTTGATGAAAATAAAATATATTGACCTAGTTCGGTTTGACAGTTCAAGGCAGTAAAACATGCGGTAATCAAAATATGAAAATAGCCTTGTTATGCAAATACAGAAGCAACGTGCGCCAATCCCATCGTCTTTTTTCTTCCACCCGTTAATTAATTGCATAGGCCATAGGGGGTGTATTGAGTATTGGAGCCGAAGCCGGAGCAGGAGCCGCCGGAGCCGGACCATTTTGCTCGGATCCCGAGCCGCCATGGCATTTCACCCGGAGCGCGCGATTTTTTTCTCCGGAGCCGGAGCCGGAGCCGTCTGAAATTCCCACGGCTCCGCACTCCTGCTCATAATTACCACAGCAAGTGTGTGCAAGCTCCACCGACCCTTCTGCGACGACGTCGACATCATCCGGATCCTGGCAAGGGTGTTGTCTCGTGAGCCTTATCCGGACGAACTCGCTACGGACAACGGGACGCAGTTCAGTAATTGCGAGTTCCCGTCAGTCGTAGCCGAGGCAGACACGATAGCGATAGCTGGATAGCCCGTTCGTCGTCATTCTTCTGCTCCGACAGAGCGGAACGGTGGAACGATTCACCCACACTCAAAAGTGGTGGCTTGTTGCGGTGGTTAACCAGTCTGAGGTTCCATCGCAGCATTGACCAGCACCCTCAGAACACTGCCAGTAACACTTCCATGAACAGAACACTGCCATGTGCAGTAACACTGCCAGGGCGCAGCCGGCTGCAGCTGCCCAGCATTCACCCAACAGTCCACCAGGTGACTGACGGTGTCTCCACGTGGAGCAGCACTCATGTCAAAACAAGTGCCAGTGTCTGCAATTACATGACACGAGACATGGAGGGTGTCAACAGTCGATGAGGCTGGCCTATAACATCAAGGCAAGGTGGTAGTCAATGCTTACAAGAAGTGCATTCCCTTCTCTGCTGCAACTCTGCATGCTGCAGTGCTACTGCATTATCTCAATCCAACTTACATCTAGTTTACCTACCTCCCAGACCAATGACTCAGCCACCTCTACTGAAGAATGCAGACTGAGTCCATGGTTTCGCACTTTGCAGCCAGGGGCGGAGCTTTCTATGCAGTTGGTGGGGCGGCTGCCCCACCAACTTGATATTTTGCCCCACCAATAAGCGTTTTGCCCCACCAACTTCAGCTGATTTCTAAGACTTTGCTGCTTTGCAAATTAATCTTTTTCGCATTGAAGAGCTTTGAAATGTCTGTTTAATGCAAAATAATATGTCTGTAATGATAGGAATTGATTCAGTGTGGGTGGCATTTTATTCAACTTTATAATCGGACATTGTGGGTTTGACGACTTTTTGCCCCACCAACTTCCCTGGAAAAGCTCCACCTATGTTTGCAGCACAAGCTGACTTGGAGCCGAGCAGCATTCCCCACTAAAACTGCTGTAATTTCTCACACCCCTCAGCCTCACCCCAGCATGTCACATGAACTGACTGAAGCAGAATCTGCCCAAACAACCAGGCAGCAGTATTCTGCAACACCCTCAGCCGGTGTTGTAGTGGGTGCCAACTGCCACAGGCCAGCAGATACAGCACGCTGCTGAAGTAATGTGAGGTTTTACCAGTCTTAACCCTCGCCCCGTTGGGGGGGGGGGGGCAATTTGCCCCCCCCCCTGTGGTTTTT